TGAGTTGTTCAGTATACTTTAACACCTTAATTCACCAAAAAGAAAGAATCTAATTTTTTTTCTATTCTTGAATCTTATCTGAATTAATAGACTAAAGTATGCTAAAAAGGACAACCAATGCCAGAGCCTCCACTATAGTATAAATGGAGAAAACAACTCATAGTCAATAAATTTTAAGTTTGAAAATATAGCCACAGAAAAACCAGGCCGGCTTGGTTTATATTGTTCCAAAAACTTCAGCCAAATGCCTGGTAGATTTGGCATGGACAGTCTATGCAGAAAACGTTGTCGCAAAAAACTCAATACATAGTTTGCCAGCAAAATAGGTAATGGACCTGGAACCAACATACTTTTAGAACTTCACAACATGAGCCAACTTAGCTTTCAGGATATGATTGTTAATTATTCACCATAATGATTCATGTGGATGTGGTACTCACAGGCGAATGACATATGTCAAGGGACTTTATAAAATGTTCAAGTGAAACATTAAAATAAACAAAGATAATAAATTAGTTAAGGTTTAGGAATGTATAAATGCCAAAAAAATAAAAGAATGGTCGAGTGATCACTCACCTTGTGCCATTACACAACCCAGAAGATTGATCCATGTTTCGAAGCAGCATTACAGGAATACCAACTTTCAATTTTAAGATGTGATTAGGAACTCCAGAGCATTTTATTGCATTCAAAAAATCAGTTGTGTACACAGAATGCTGATTTTCCGAATCGACAAACGTCTTGCAAATACTGTCGGAGCTCAAATAAACACGCTCTTCACCAGGTATCATTGACATAATATAATCATTAACTGCTTCAACAATTTTATTCGTAGGTGCAAGTATAGCTCTCCCTTCAAAAAATGATGGATCATAAAGGTTGCTCAATAGTGAAGGATACGTACTTTCAACAATAGCAGCTAAATGATCCTCTGCATCTTGAATCAGTAGGTCTTCAGGAATATCGACAAAAGTTTCTCCATCAACTTCAACACCAATTACACCATCACCAATTTTTATGATCCAATCAGAAAAATCTTCAATTTCTCTAGCAGTTACATGTGAGTGTGACTGTTCAACAGTCAATCTCATGTTTTTAGTTAGCCGGAGAACTTTGCAATGATTCCATAATGCAGATGAATTTATGGAGGCATACACAATATCTTCTCGACTACCTTGCGGTACCACAGGTAGTATTTGCCGAAAATCTCCTCCAAAAACAACTACTTTTCCACCAAAGGGAATATGTTTCTTGGAAGGATCGGTACATGAATCCCGTAAGCTTCGATCTAATGCTTCAAAACAATATCTGTTCATCATTGGAGCTTCATCCCATATGATCAGTTTTGTCTTCTCCAAAAGAGCAGCTAACTCGGAATCAGGAGTAAATGAACACATAGATTTCTCTCTAATGTTGAGCGGAATTCCAAAACGTGAATGAGCAGTTCGACCGCCAGGAAGTAATAGTGCAGCAACTCCACTCGAAGCAACATTAACAACAATTTCCCCTTTGCTTCTAAGAGCAGCGGATAACGTTCTCCAAATGAAAGTCTTTCCTGTCCCACCATATCCGTAGACAAAGAAAACACCACCAACATTATTTGTAGCAGCATTTAAAATTTCAGTGTATACCCCCATTTGTTCAACAGTCAAAGAAGAAAACAATTGCATATGCTCCGACTCCAATTGTGTGCGGTCATACAACATTTCTTGTTGGATAAGCTTATTATTTCCTTCAGACACAATTGAATCATCAGGAAAAGGCATACCACTGTAGTGTTTGAGAGACTTTCCATTGGCCTGCAATAACTTCTCAATTTCAACTAATGCGAAACATTGCAACTGATCATCACTAAGTCGCAAGTCTGTTTCAAAGAAAAAAAAATATCATTTAATAAACATAAATGAGAAACATATAATATTAATTAGTAAGTGATACTATAGGATAAAAATAATGAGGGCAAGAATAATTAAATGAGCAAAGTTATTAGGCACAATAAAAAAAAATGAATTAACTAAAAAAAAATATATCTCGACTGGTGCGACAAGCGGAAAAAGAAAAAGATCGGCGGGAAAAGGCCAGAAGAAAACGTGCAATATTTTCAGGAATTGATACGTGATTTCAAGCATTAGCTTTATTCTAGACCATAATCATTCGAAAGGATTTGTTTCAAAAGCCAAAGCGTTTTTCCTGATAAATGACAAGTAATAACCCCACAAGAGACATTTTTCCTGACAAAGTTTATATCATATATTGGCATTCTGTGAATGAGTTTTTATGAAGGGCTAACTGCAGAAAATGCCCCTGAGGTTTACTAAATGGGCAACCCCACTATTGAAAATTACAATTAGCTTCTTACAAGGTTATATTTATCAACAACATTTATAGTATCTAGACTATATTATGTGGGCAAGAATAATTATATGAGCAAAGTTATTAAACACAATTAAAAAAAAAAACAATTAACTAAAAAAAATAAATATCGACTATATTACCTTGAATTCCAAGAAGTTTACGTTGTCTGTATAGGATATCATCGGCCAAAACACTCCATGTATTTTTCCACACATATTCTGGTCTGGAGACACTATCCGAAAATAATAGAGATGCAAAGAGTTTTCTTAGAAATTGTGGAGAAGCCCAAAAGCTCGCCTCTATAATGCCATCAATGTATTCTTTATCATCATCCAAGAGGCCCAACGAATAGCATGCATCCTTAAAAGTTGGATATACGATGTTGCCAATGGTTCTTATATCTTCATGGCATAATGGTCCCCGACTATGATGAAGCATGATAGATAAATAGTGCAATTCTCCAGCACCAGGTGGCACATAATCCAACCTTCCAACTGATAATTGTTTTATTCGCGGAGACCAGAAATTTTTTTCCCTTTTCCACACAAAATGCGTAGGCAACTCAGCATAAGTCAATGTTCTAGCATGTGGGTACTTTTTATTGCATTCAAACCAAGCTAAAAACATAGACTCTTGACTCTTTTTCTTT